CCCCCCCCCCCGGCCAAAAAAAAGACTATGTACAGACAGAGCACTTCTTTGTTTTGTTTTTGTGCTACTGGGGGCCCAACTGGAGCTATATCCCCAGCCCTTTTCTGTTTACTTTGAGACAAGGTCAGGCTGAGTTCCCTAGGCTGGTCTTAAACTTGCTACCCTCCTGCCTCAGCCTCCCAAATACCTAAGATTACAAGTGTGCCCACTGGGTGCAGATAAAACTTTTATTATTATTTCATTTTTTTGAATGCTGGGGATCTAATCCAGGGCCTTTCATGTGCTAGGCAAGTGCTCTATCACTGAGCTGCATCTCCCGTCTGAGCTTTTTTTTTTTTTAACATAGGAATTTTATTAAGCTAAGAGTCTAGAGCATAAGATTGTACTTGTTCCTTTTACCTTTATTTGTTGGTTTTTAAGACAAGGTCTCAGGCTGACCTTGAACTCACTGTGTAGCCCAGGCTAGCCTTAAACTCATGTCGATCCTCCTGCCTTAGCCTCCTGAGTGCTGAGATGAGGGCTGGGATTACAAGTGTGAAGCGCAAGTAACTGAGCTGCAAAAAAAACCCAAGTGTGCACCACCATGCCTGGCTTCTTTTACTTTTTTTTTTTTGGAACCAGGGATCGTACTCAGACCCTTGTACTTGCAAGGCAGGTGCCAGAACCACTAAGCTAAATCCCCAGTCCTTTTAGGACGTCACATCCAATGGTTTTTAGCTGTGCTGCGCAGTGTGTACCACTGTGTACGCCTATCTCCAGTCGAGAGGTTCAGTGGTTCCATTACCCAGATCATTCCTTAGATCTCTTCTCAGCTACCACTCCAGCAAGATAACCATTTTCTGGTGTCTGTCACCATCAATCCAACAGTTATTTTGCCTGTTCACAAATTGGAGTGAACATTTTTTTAAGACAGGGTCTCACTGTGGTGCCCAGCCTGGCTTAAACTCCTGAGCTCAAGTCATCCTCCGGCTTCAGCCTCCTGGGTAGTTGGGACCCCAGGCATGTGCACTGTACCCAGCAGGAACGAACACTTTGAAGGGTCTTGGTGCACAGCCAGTGGGTGTCCCTTCAGGAGACATGATTTCTTGGTTCTCCTTTCTAGGGCCACAAGCCACCACTGCCTGTGTGCCTGGCCTACCTCCTCTGGAGCAGGGGATGGCCACTGACTGCCTAGGACTGTACAGGCCTAAACTGGGGGTGGAGTAGCCCAGGGCTGAGGCCTTTTTTGTGGAGCAGACACCAACAGATTACTTGTTTGACCAGGCCCAGGCACAGCCACAGCCCCAGCCCCAGCCCCAGCCTCAGCCTCAGCCGCCGCTGTCCAACAAGCGTCCCAGCAACAGCACACCACCCCCCACACAGCTCAGCAAAATCAAATACTCAGGGGGACCCCAGATCGTCAAGAAGGAGCGACGGCAGAGCTCCTCCCGCTTCAACCTCAGCAAGAACAGGGAGCTGCAGAAGCTCCCTGCCCTGAAAGGTACTTGAAGCCAGCCAGGTGGCTGCTGGACCAGGTGTGGGGCGCTAGGCGGTGGCAGAGCAGGGGTACCGGAAGCAGAGTGGCATCAGGGTGGGCGAGCAAGGCCCCTGTGGGACAAGCAGGGCCTGGCATAAAGGGGAGAGGAGGAGAGGCATTGATGATAGGGGCCCTGCAGATTCGCCCACCCAGGAGCGGGAGGAGCTGTTTATCCAGAAGCTGCGCCAGTGCTGCGTTCTCTTCGACTTTGTGTCGGACCCACTCAGTGACCTCAAATTCAAGGAGGTGAAGCGGGCAGGACTGAACGAGATGGTGGAGTACATCACCCACAGTCGCGATGTCGTCACGGAGGCTATCTACCCAGAGGCCGTCACCATGGTGGGCACGGGGAGGGCACGGGGCAGGGCGGGGCCCTGGAGGAACCCAGGCCATGCTGTGACCTGGCCACACCTCAGTTTTCAGTGAACCTCTTCCGAACGCTGCCACCTTCGTCAAATCCTACGGGGGCCGAGTTTGACCCCGAGGAGGACGAGCCCACACTAGAAGCCGCCTGGCCACACCTCCAGGTATGAGGGAAGGGACCGGGCACTCAGGCTGGCACAGGGTCCTTGCAGAACACCTCAGTGCATGCTCTTTTTCCTCCCCAGCTCGTGTATGAGTTTTTCTTACGTTTCCTCGAGTCTCCTGATTTTCAGCCAAATATAGCCAAGAAGTACATCGACCAGAAGTTCGTCCTTGCTGTGAGTCCCTGGGGTCCCCCTTTTCCACACACCCCCACCTGTATCCAGGTTGCTCTTTGCCTTCTGCTCAGTATACCATGTCTGCTCCCGAGCACCGTAGGTGAGCAGTAAAGCCTTGGGCCCTCAAGAAGCTTCCAGCATAATGGGGGTAAACACACGAACACCCCTGCCCTGACACCACTTTGGGAAGCGCAGCGGAATAGAATCCTGTCTTCCATAGACACGGCCTGTGCCCGAGACATTCAAGACCTCCAGCTAGAATGTGGTTATCACCCCAGCCCAGCCTCCCTGGCTGCTGCCTCATTCTCGGCCTTTCCTCCTCCTGCTCCCAGCTCCTGGACCTGTTCGACAGTGAAGACCCTCGAGAGCGGGACTTTCTCAAGACCATTCTGCACCGCATCTATGGCAAATTCTTGGGGCTCCGGGCTTACATCCGCCGTCAGATCAACCACATCTTCTATAGGTGAGGCTAGAAGCCAGTCCGAGGAGCACAGCCAGCCCCCTTGTTGTACTGGGCAAGGTAAGGGGACTGCAGGTAAGAGGTCCATCAGCAAGGTGTCAGGGGAACCCTCTTCTGCACAGGTTCATCTACGAGACAGAGCACCACAATGGGATAGCTGAGCTACTGGAGATCCTTGGCAGGTAAGAGGTGGGATGGGGCCAGGATGCCTGAGAAGGATCAGGAGACTCTGCACATGGAGCCTGGACCCGACCTTCTGATCCTGAAACCCTCCCTTAACTCCTAGTATCATCAATGGCTTTGCCCTCCCCCTCAAGGAGGAGCACAAGATGTTCCTCATCCGTGTCCTGCTCCCCCTTCACAAGGTTAAGTCGCTGAGTGTGTACCACCCTCAGGTGAGCTGCCTTCTGAGCACTCCCCACTGGTGGCGGGGGTGCAGCACAGGGATGACAGTGAACGGGTGGAGAAATATATCCCACCCCATCCATCCTGGACTCTTGTCTCTGCCACTGATCTCTGAAATCCTCACCTCCTTCCTGTCTCCACCTTCTGCAGTTGGCATACTGTGTGGTCCAGTTCTTGGAGAAGGAGAGCAGTCTGACTGAGCCGGTAATTCCCCTGTGGGGCCCCAGGATCCATCTCTATAGCACTTGCCAATCTGCACCTTTTTTTGTTTGAGCCAGAGTCTCTGTGTAGTCCAGGCAGGCTTTGAACTCCCTGTGTAGTCTAGGTTATAAGAGGTGATCCTCCTGCCTCAGCCTCCTTAGTGCTGGGTATAGGCATGTGGTCCAATACTACCAAGGGGTGTTGGCAGTGGAGGGTAGCGTGATAGGTGACATGGTTTCCTCTCTCATGGAGAAGTAAAACCCTATATTTACCCAGGAAGCATATCCATGCCAGAGCACAGGTGGTTAGTGGAGGACACCCAAACTCTGCCCACCAAAGTGGAGTGTGGCAGGAAGGCTCCCAGAGAACCAGGTAATGTTCAGAGCTTTTCCTTACATTCCCTTCTCACAGGTGATTGTAGGACTTCTCAAGTTTTGGCCCAAGACCCATAGTCCCAAGGAGGTGATGTTCCTGAATGAGCTGGAGGAGATCCTGGATGTCATCGAGCCCTCGGAGTTCAGCAAGGTGATGGAGCCGCTCTTCCGCCAGCTTGCCAAGTGTGTCTCCAGCCCGCATTTCCAGGTGAGACACAGGCCAGGCTCAGCCTGGCTCCTGCCTCCCAGAAACCCAGGCAGGTCCTGAACGAGGCACACAACGCCCCAGAGTCCCACCTCTCTCCACCAGGTGGCAGAGCGCGCCCTCTATTACTGGAACAATGAGTACATCATGAGCCTGATAAGTGACAATGCTGCCCGCGTTCTCCCCATCATGTTCCCTGCACTCTATAGGAACTCCAAGAGCCACTGGAACAAGTATGGCCCTGGATGGGGCTGGGCGCTGGGGTCTGGTTTTGGAAGCTTTGAGGATGTGGGAAGAACTGAAGACCAGGAGCCTCACCGGAGGGACTAAGTGCAGAGAGAGAGGGATGCCGTGTGAGGGGCCTGTGACACCAAACAGCAGAGCAGTGGCAGTATCCACTGCTGCTTGGTCATCTCACAGCTCTGGTGACAATTCTGTGCTGAGGATAGCTGATGTGCTCTGCTTACAGAGCATGCATGCGTGAAGAGTCTCAACGCTGTAGCAAGGCTTTCCTGCTAAGAGCACGCATACCGTGGTGTAGACGAAATCTACTGACAGGAGTCCATCAGCATGTGTTAAGAGTGGGGAGCAGTGGGAAGAGTGTAGGATTTGGAGCACAGGGTGTGGAAAGAAAGACCGATGTTCGCAGAGACCATGAAATACCAGGAAGGCTCACGATTTGGCTGACGTGTCTGCTTATACCGCATGAAGCTTTGTGAAGCAGGAACAGTAATTGAGAAAGCTTTGAGCAGAAACACCTCAGAAATAAGTAGATTGGGGTCCTAGTGCTAAGGGCAAGCTCTGACCTCCTGTACACCACCTTTCTTCTGGGTGGCAGAACAATCCACGGCCTCATCTACAACGCCCTGAAGCTGTTCATGGAAATGAATCAGAAGCTGTTTGATGACTGCACACAACAGTACAAGGCAGAGAAACAGAAGTGAGTATCTTTCTCCCTAGGCTTTCACCTTCTATCTCTGGCTCCTTTTCCTCTCCCCAAGCCCGGCTCCAATCCTACTTGTGCTTCCACAGGGGCCGGTTCCGAATGAAGGAAAGAGAAGAGATGTGGCAGAAGATCGAGGAGCTGGCTCGGCTCAATCCCCAGGTAAGATTTTTCTGCCACTGAACTCAGAATGCATCTACAGCCGGGGGAGGACTTTTTAGAGGAAGGGTTTTGAGGCAGCCAGGCCACACCCCTCGGAAGTGGGTCTCACCACCTGCTCACACCTCCTGTCCCTCAGTATCCCATGTTCCGAGCGCCTCCACCACTGCCTCCTGTGTACTCCATGGAGACAGAGACCCCCACGGCAGAAGACATCCAGCTTCTGAAGAGGACGGTGGAGACAGAGGCTGTGCAGGTGGGAGGGCCCTGGGGTGAGGGTTGGAGTGTGGAGCAGAAATAGTAGATCTGGAAGGAAAAGGAGGTAAGAGCAGCAGAGCCAAGAAATAGAAGAACACCACCAGGGACCTCCTTGGAAATTAGTTACTAATCATTTTCCTGCTCTCCACACACAGATGCTAAAGGACATCAAGAAGGAGAAAGTGCTGCTCCGAAGGAAGTCCGAGCTGCCCCAGGATGTGTACACCATCAAGGCACTAGAGGCACACAAGCGTGCAGAAGAATTCCTGACTGCCAGCCAGGAGGCTCTCTGACACTTTTCACCTCCCACAGGGCCACAGCCCACTCAACAACCCTGGACACCACCCTGGCCCTCCACCCTGTGCTCCCTCCAGCTGACTCGGGGCAAGGCAGCACCTCTAGTTACCCTAGGGGATGCGGGCACTTGAAGCAGGGATACCCAGAGTGGGCCTGCTTCTTCCCAAAATGTGCTCATGCCTCTGTGTGGCTACTACAGACAGGCTGAGCACCAGTGCTCAGTGCTCGGACAACCTGGGGATGCCTGTGCCCCTCCTGCTCCTGACCCCACAGCTCCCTGAGGCTGCTCTGAGAAACAGGAATACACATGCTCCTCTCCCCTCATCCTCCTCTGAACTCTACGTGTTACTCTGCCTCTCTCTCCCCTGCAGAGGCATGTAGGGAGCAGCAGGAGATTATTCTCACCAAAGTTAGGCAAGCTCCATTGTCCCCTGGAGTAAGGAGCTGGAGGGTGCTGACCCTCAGCAGCACAAATAGACCCCCAGCCCCGGCAGTGTGCAGGCTGATGGGGCTCAATTAACACACACACACACACACACACACACACACACACACCCACACACCCCCACACACCCACCCCCTCTGCCTGACACAGCAGAGGTCAAAAGGAGAAAAGTATAGGCTATGGACAATACAGGGCCTAGCTGGCCCATGGCTAGGGCAGAGGGGAGGGGATGATCAGACCCCCTCCCCTCTGCCCCTCCACAGTGAGCAGTGGCCCTGGGAATCAAACATGGATGGGACCACCCTGTGGCTGACTGCTTTCCTGTGCTGTTGGTTCCCAAAGCTAGAAAGAAGGAAGCAGGGAGCAGTGCCCCAAGCATGGCTCCCGACACCTATTTATTTCCTTGTTTATGCTGACGCTAGGCAGCCCCTCATGTGTCCCCTTAGACACTTTTAAGAGGGGAAAGGGGCTGAGGAGGGCTGGACCCAGGTCCCAAGGGTACAGGCAGTGAGGCTTTTGGCTGTGTACATAGGGTGCTTTATTCTCCAGAATGATACATGCGATGGGTTGGGCTTGGGCCAATGTCCCCATATGTACAGAACTGAATAAAGTGGGTCTCTGAGCAGAAGTCTGATTTGCCTTGATGTGAAAGGAAGACAGCGGGGAAGGAGGGAGATGGACATTACAACCAGAGATGTGTTCAGTCCTGTGCTGGTTCTGGTCTGGAATGTCGGGAGGTAAGGCAGCTCTCAGTGTGATCACTTCCAGGCCAGAGGTGCCTGCCGGGCTTGGAGGGCTTTTTGTACCACGTCTTCCCACTGGGCATCTGATATCTCCCGAGCCCACGCAGGAACCCCTGGTGCAGGCAGGCTTACTCCAGCCATTGTCCTTTTCACCAGCTCCACGTGCTCTGAAATCACAGCCATAGGCTCATTAGGCAGTGGCAACAATGCCGCCAGGCCTTGTCATTCCTTGAACACAAAGTCCTGGACTGATGTCACCAAATCCACCTTGATAATCTGTAGGCAAGTCTGGCTCACCCTTAAGTCACAGAATAGCAATTCTGGATTCTGAGGTCTGCAAAACCTTTACTAAGTACTTTTCTAGGATTAAATGTTTCTCTGAAACTTCTTGCCACTGGCTCAGGTGAGTGCACTTTCTGATTCCTGAATGAAAGCAGATACTTCATACCTGGGTCCATGGGGATGGAACTGTGGCTGCTCAGTGCTGTGGCTCCCTCCTCATTTTCATCCTCACTCTCTAATGGTGGCTCTGGCAAATGAAGCCCCAGGGCCTGCAGAACCAAGAGAAGGCAGCTCGGGTCCAGCCTTTTGTGGAGTCACCTGCTCAGGAGTAATTTCCCCTCCACCATACCTGGATCCGATCCTGGATGTCAGCCACTACATCTTCTCCATCCCCAACGGGTGCCAGCTCCACCTCCTCGGGTTCAGGATCTTGGTTCAGCGGCTGGTAGGAGTAGCCAACTGGGCCTGCCCCTGTATCCTCCTGCTCCTCCTCGGGATCCTCACTGCTCCAATCCCCGGTGCCTTCTGTGGGGCCCTGGTGTGGCCCCAGGTCCTCGCTTTGGTTGGGGAAGATACGCTCGGGGCCCATGGTGTCTCCCGTTAGAACTGCTGCTGCCATGCGGGCTGGGGCTGTAAGATCAGGGATAGGGACCGAGTGAAACCTGCCCACCTTCACCCTCTGGTCCGCGAGACCAGCTCCCCTTGCGGTCCACGCATCATCTTTGCTCCTTCCCTTCAGTCTCTGGTCCCACCCCCAGTCGGGGGCTCCTACACAGAACTTAGCCCCACCCGCCTCGCTCCCCCAATTCCTAAATTCACAGCCCAATCCAAAGCCTCGGCACCCACTCTGCGACACCCCACTTCCAAAGCCCCTGTGCCCCGCCACGCCCCTCCGGTCTCGAGAACGCCGGGTCACAGGCTCCCCCAGCCAAGGCATGCCCACCCCTATCACCGCTCCTCCGGCTC